TAAACATCTAATTGAAACCATCCCTGAATTTGATTTTACCTGCAGCTTCTCTCTCTCTCACACACACACACGTTTAAAGTTGGAATGGTTCTGTTCTGAAGCCTCAAACAGTCAATATACTTTCATAGCACCCCCATACTCTCTCCAAACATGCTAAACACCATAGACTGACGTCCTGCTCTTCTTTCACACCGTCACTGCCTTCTGGGAACTGAACACACTTTGATCTTTGGGAAGGGGAGCAGGACTGAAGAAGAAAGAGGACTTCACAATGCTAGGGATCAATTTTGCCTGTGCCAAAATAACACAGGGAAATACAACCTGGGATTGGAGAAATTAAGCAACTGTCTGCCTAGTGTACTTTTAGAGTAACCAGGGATACAGATGCCCCAAGACAATTTTTTACAACTCCTTTTGTTCCTTAAGAAGTGACCAAACTCTGCCCAAGAGCTAGATGCCTTTTGCTCAGAGCTGTGCTTCAGTTTGTTAAGATGCAGGTAGCCCGCAGAGGAATATGCTGGGGGCAGAGAGGATGATGGGAATGCTAAGCTACTCAGATCTAGAGCAGGGGAAAAAAGAAGGGGGAAGCTGAAGGTGCCCAAGACAAGCTTCACTGGGTTCAGGACTTTGCCTAGGGCTAGCTTTCCCCTAGTTATGCCAACAGACTCCTCCAAGCTAGGGCTATGACACCAGCCAGAGCTGGAGCTTCTACCACCAGGAATTAAAACCAAGCTTGTGACTTGGATCAGCCTGTCTCCTGTTTGAAGATGAGGAGAGCTGAGAAGGACAGAGGACAGAGAAGGAAGGTTCTTGCATCTTAAAATTCTGGACCGCCCCACCAGTCACACTTCCTTATCATTAAAGTTGGGAGGAGGAGGAAGGGGAAAAAGAGTAGAGAGGAATAAAAGAGTGGGATGCAAGAGAACTGGCCAGAACCAGGAGAGGGCCACTGGACTTTTACTGATAAAGATAGGTGGTGTGGAAGAGTGCGTTAATTAATAAGGCCCTTCAAGCCATAGTTCTTGTAACTATCACCGAATGATTGGGTTGCTGTTGTTGTTAAATGCTGTTCAGCTGGTTCTGACCCATAGTGACCCTGTATAGGATTTCCAAAGGATGGCTAGTGAGCTTGAACCGCTGACCTTTTAGTTCAAGTTGACTTTGCGGTACAGCACATTAACCCACAGCACCATACCAAGGCTCAAATTATTGGGTGGAACTATGTAAATTGAATTGAGTTTTTAAAGGAGCCCTAGTAGCTAGATTATAAATTGGGATGCTAACTGCAAGGTCAGTAGTTCTAATCTACCAGATGCTCTGCAGGAGAAAGGTAATGCTTTCTGCTCCCATAAAGATTTACAACCTTGGAAACCCTATACATAGTTGCTATGAGTAGGAACCAACTCCATGGCACATAGCCACGAACCACAATCATGTAAATGAGATGCTTTTGGCATGGGATACTAAGTTGATGGCACTATTGTATGGGTAAGACCAAGCAAGTAAGGCATAATGTGGAATCTTAACAAGGGGCTTGGTCAGTTTTACCATTTTGCTAGACTTAAAAGGAGCCATGCCAGAGGTGGAAAAGTGGGCCTCACTATCACCAGGAAGAAGAGAAGAGAGCGGGACTGTGTCCTTTGGATCCAGGGTCCTAGTGCTGGGAATTTCCTGGACCAGTGAGACAACAGAGTGCTGCAGAGATGGTGAGAGACTTGGAGAAGCAGCAGCAAAGAAACAGTGGCAGGAGTAGAGGCAGGAGACTATACAGTGGTTCTCCTGACTCTCAAAGAGAGAGTTCAGTGTCTATGGGCAGGAGACTATACAGTGGTCCTCCTGACTCTCACAGAGAGAGCTCAGTGTCTATGGGCAGG